ACAAAACAGTTTCTTCACAACAGTCTTCAAAACTGTATATAGGAATAAATAAAAACGAACCTTTTCTCTTTAAGCAAATACAGTATATTTATTATATGGTACAAATATCGGGCCACAAAAGTCTTCGTACACTTAATAATAATACGAATTTAAAGACTATTAATACTTCGTAGGATTACCTTTCGCTTGAATTACAGCTTGCAATCGTCGCTGCATTGATTGCACGAAGTTGGGAATTGCTTGTACAGTCGGTTTATAGGTTTTGAGATACTTAATGTGAAACTTGCTAATAAAAGGCCAGAAAGACGCTCTGGATTACACAGCGGGTCACCGCTCGCAGTCACTGTATTACCATTAATGTACGAACAACTTTTAAAATGCAATAACTTTTTTAGGATTAGACTAAACGACTCGAATTTTTTCGGATGATAGAGAGACTAGTCTACTAGACCATAACTAGAATGCTTTTTTCTTATTTTTGTTTTTGCTTAGAATGCTTAAAAAATTGCTTAAAAAATAGAAAACTCATGTTTAAATATTCAAACTCGATTTTCTCAGAAACTAAGTTCCAAACAAAAAAAGATATTGTATATATTTTTCATACTTTTTCATAAGAAATCACCGGGTGGCTGCTTTCAGGTTACCTTTCAGGGACACCCTATATATTTCTCTATAATTTACGTGAAGCATGAACGAGTCATTTCGACTGCGAGCTACAAGCTCCACTACTGTTACTCTATGCACATCACTACACACACATGAGCAGCCCCGTGTGGAGCTCAGAAGAAACAATGTCATATCGTTTCTCGCGAGTGTGTGAGGGACACTGAAGATACGTAGTCGTGACGAGCCACGGAGAGCCACAAAAGAGGGAAAGAGCCAGATTTGACTCACGGGTAGTAACATAATCGGTCCGATACTGTTACCGTTGATGATATTCAATCAATTCGATACCAAAGTACTCAATAGGAAGTATTGATACCGCTTTGATACCTTACAAAAGTATCGATACTGGTTTGAGACAATCAATGTACGTATCGATACCTGTTTGATACCTTACAAAAGTATCGATATCCGTTTGAGACTTCTATGAGAATTCTAATACCCGTTTCACCTCTTTCAAGATGTTTCAGTTTCTATTAGACATTTCATTAAAACATCTATATTTATGTGATATTAAAAGTTATTAAAACAATAATTTATTGTTAGTTAGCAATTCTAATTCGATCAAAATTGTAATCTGCATTATTTGCATAGCTTAAAGATGAAAATGAGAACTTCAGTTTAATATTATTGCTATTATTATTTTAATAATTTTTAATATCTGAGAAATATAAATATTTCAGTGAATTTTCAAATGGATATTGAACATTTTGAAAGATATAAAACGGGTATTGAAATTCTTATAAATTGTATCAAACGAATATCAATGCCTTTGTAAGGAATCAAACAGGTATCGATACTTTTGACATCTACATTTTTGATTCTATTCGATTCGGTATCAGAATTCACTTTTTTCGCTATATTTACGTAGTTGACATGTACCGATTTTTTTCATGTTCTTTGTTTTATTCTCACCTCAATTTTCGCAGTATCATTGTTTTACAACCGTTTTCGCGATTTTATGATTATAATTACTGTCCGGTATTAGGTGCTGTCAGGTAATAGGCGAATTCCTCCTACTATTAAAAATTGTTTAGTATATAAAGAATTGTCCGGATTAGTACAACTTGCTGGCCGTGACTAAATTGTTTCCAAACAATTATCCATTACGTTTTTAGTGTATACTAAACAAATGTCATAATTATTTCATGTGTTTTCGTATTATACTAAATAAATTTGACGATACCATGTATTTTATCTCTACTCTATTACAAAAAATACAATTTGATATTTACTGTTAATTTCATATCACTGCGTGTGGTTGGAAAATTGTTACCAGGAGTAGTATTATAATGTTGATACAAAAAAAAAAACCCAAGCGGTACGTAAGATCAGGAATCCTAACCCAAACCCGGCACCGCTGTCAGATTCGTAGAGTAACCTGCGTAACCGGGTTAACCAGTGCGCAGAAGTTTCGTTAATTCGGTTAACTCGTTCTTATGACGGGCTAATGCATCCTAAGAGAGCCCTCTCCTCCCTTCTTCTCCCCGCTCCCCCCTTCCTCTCTCTTTACCTTTCCTTCCTCACCTACCCTCGGCTTTGGTAAGGGGTCGGTAGGTAAAAAGAAGCCCAAGCGGAAGAGGACCGCGGTTTCGTCGCCCGAGGAGGCGGTCGACTGCACTTCCGATGAGTCAACGACGATGAGCGGCTGCGTGAGCCCCCTACCTGGCCTGGAAACGCAGGTCAAGAAGGCGGTCGCTGGCACGCGAGCTCTTGGCAAGAGGCTAGGCGCTTCCATTGAGCTGGAGGAGGGCACGCGAAAGCTGTTCAACGCTATTATCAGAAGCCTCAATGAAGTGCAACACGCTGTTAAGGCGATGAGGAGGAATGACCGTGTCTCCTCAATACCAACCCCAGCCCCTCGGCATTCAACACGGAGCTCTCCAGCTCCGGCCACGAAGCCTGAAGGCTGCGGGGTTTCGACTGGCATACAGACGGACGGGACCGAGAAAATGGACACTAGTTGCACCGCTTCGCCGAAGTACAGGTCTTGCGGCACCCAGACCTGTGACCCGCAGGAAGTTGACGACCATGATGTCGTTGAGTGGTCGCGCGGGTCCAGAGACTGGCCTTCGCTTCGAGCCCTGGTCGACAGGAGGTGGGCGGAGACGTCTTTTGTGACGACCACCATCGTCGAGGGCAACCCCCTCACTGGCTGCCCGGACGATGATCTGGCCTGCTTCGCCCCGGCTGACCTTGAGGTGGGAGTGGGTCCTGCCCACTTTCTCATGGATCGCATCCCGGGGAT